TCATAAACCATTAATCTTTCTGTGCGTATGAAAAATTGAAATATCAGAATTTTTTCGAAGTTTGTTTGTTGAAAGATTTCCATGGTCCTCGACCATGGTTTACGTATACCGTGAAATGGTGAACATATTATGTATCTAACTTTCAGACACAATCAACGATTATATTGATATATTCACGCCTACATTATACAAAATGTTTTTATACTAATATCAATATTTTTTAGTAATAGCATTGACATCCAAAAAATAATCAAATATATTTACGAAGATGCTCACCGTCTTTCAGAAATTGTTCAAATTAGTTTCAAGGATTTATTTATTTATTTATTTTTTTTAATGTAAAAAAATAAATGTTAAGTTACAACATTAACAGATGATCGTATCAAATGCAAATGGATTATTAAAAATAAGACAGTAAAGATGATACACTAAGATGCTTGTTTAAATAGATGTTTGTAAGAATATATTTGTTATAATTAATAATAAAATAATACGAAAACTATTATAATTTCTACGAGAACGTTTAGCTTGTTATTCATAGATACCGATTATTTTCAAACAATATTTTAATACCTAGTATTGTTGAACTACCCGAAAACTATAAATAATTTTTATTTGAGTACAAAAAATGTAAATTTTACCTTTTTGAAATTCATATACTACTTATTGGTATGCGCGACGATGGTATTTTCACTGACCCATAATTAAGGTTTATTGCCAAGTAACCGGACACACTATACTGATATTTGTTTAATTGGATCGCAAAGGAGCAATAGGGGGTGTTTGACACTTAAGCTTCTTGGAAATGTTGGCATGATAATATAATAGCCGTTCATATCTATTATTATGCTCTACGCGTTTCGCGTAAAAAATATTACGTTTCTTCCGTTCGGCTAAAAAATATCGATCACTCGTTTAGAAGTTTATAAATTTAACGATGTCATCGTTCTTTATTATCAAAACTGTACATCAACTAAGACTCAATACACTGCGTTATATTGTTATCGCACCTAATGTGTTAACTATCTATACAATCGAACTTATTTGACTGGATGAAATGTCGATCCATACGTAATACAGTTATACGTTTAAATTGCTTAGGCGTACGACGTACCTACACAATATTAATTGCTTAAAATCCCCAAGTCATAACTCACTCCTCACTCTCACACACACCCGCGCACATATATTTTGTTTTGAGATAAAATTATTGTTCAAACAAGAATATTTCTGCGGCCAAGATAATACGTTCATTTCGGTTTGTACATTAGTTGCAATACCAATACGAGTGCACTAATAGTTAGTTTGTCGACATAACACTTGGCTATGAGTTCGGCAATAATTATTTCGAAGAAAATAATGATTGGTTTAACACCGTTAACACTGTGGACAGTTACCTCATAAACCTCGTTTTATCGTATGACATTTTTATGACATTAGCTAGATTTTCTTTAATATTGTCTGTCTGGGATGAAGTTCCCTTCGGGTCACCTTGGTGTTAGTAATTTTATCACTTCCAATTTTTGAACAAAATGTTTACGACCTGTGCCGTATGTGTGGAACAGAGTTTCGAATCGTTAAACACAATATACTATCGTCTACGAAAACCTAAACCGATTAAATTAGATACGTAATCGTTACACGACGACCGAATGACCGGAATCGGTTTTTCTCGTACGAAGCATAATACGCGCATACTACACTACGTATTTATAATGTAACAAGCGCGTTCGATTTAACATATGTCAAAGATCGAGATACAGCAAAAACGTTCACGGATTCAATGTCGTCTTGTTATAATATAAAAAAATAAACGTATAAAAAAAAAACTAGCATTTAATCGTTAATCCCGTTTTCCCGTATTACGTGCCAAACGGAACCAGGAAGTTATTAAATATTGGTTTTACAATAATTTCTGTGCGCCATTTTTTTTTCCGATATATTATTTTAATTTTTGTCGTCTGAACTACAAATATTTTAAAGAAAATATAAACATAATAATATTGATAGTTCAATAAATTACTGCTAACATTTATAATCCTATTTTTTTTTTTTTTTTATAAAATAGTGAAAAATAAGATAATAACAAAAGTCTATTCAACGGTTAACACTCGTAAAATTGTATATAAATAAATGAACAAATAATTTATGTATCATTAAATTACCGGTTTGGAATCATAAAACATTGAAAATATAAAAAATTATATTAAAATATATTAAAAATATATAAAAACTATAGTTTTAAACAATTTGACGTCGAATGGTATACAAGACGTTAATAAATTGAATACAATTTTTATTTTATCGAAATTTATTGAATTTGTTTATGACGTAATTGTTGTATTTCGTCGGTTAAAACGTTATAGTTACAATTAAAACTGAAAATCTCAACAATGCAAGGCCGACCGAAACGTACCAGAAACCATATATGTTGATCGTAATTATTTTTTTATTTTTTCGAAAAAAAAAAATCAAACCTTTAAACACGATTTATCTTTGTTTCCGCGCATTCATTTTAAATCACGTGACCGTCGCTTTATTTTCATAGCGTTGCATTATGATCTCCGGATGTTATTATGTATCATGTAATATGTTATCGCACGTTGGACTTTCAGCGCCGGAACATCGCAAACGTCACGTTACGTCAGGCGCGGCTCCAGGGGGGGGGGACTAGGGCCATGCCCTCGGGCTTTTCAAAAATTTTAATTTTTTAATACATTTTTGTCCTTGTGAACTGTGAAATCCCGATCATTTAATTAGATACCTACCTAACAATTTTATTTTGCCCGAAAAACCACATTACGACAATAATATGAGATGCGTATCACAACATAGGATCGTAGTCGGACTCTATGTCTCGGTAGTAATTTTGGGGAACAACTATTATCAGTTATAACTTAAAATGCTCCCCCCCACTTGGTGAGTTTTTGAATTTCGTTAATCTTGTTACGTCCACTGACACCTCGCAGCCTCAAAGTGCTTTCGGCCGAACGTCGCGTCCGCAATTTTCCGACGCGCGTCCCTCGTCAACGTTCGCGTCAACTAGAAGTTTCGGAACGACTAATGGTTCGGTAATAGTTCACGTATCGCGCGACTGTTGCTGTACACTTGGGTTCGGTCCAAGCGCACGTCGATCTATACGGTTGCATAAACGTATTTTGAACGCGACCGGTGCGGTGTTGTGTGTGCGAAAATTGCGCACTCGCTAACGAGCCCGACGGTCTACACGCGTTGACCGATACGGTTTGTTTTCGCATACAATCGAAAGCGACTAAAAGTTTCGAAACTGACCTGCGCTTGAAACTTCAGCGCGGTCACTATTATCGTTGCAAGATTAGATGACCGTTATATCGAAAGACTGCGGGGATTCAACGTGTTCGCGGACGACGGAAAATCAATTACGTCTCCGTAATGCGCGGACAATACCGTTTTTATTATTATTATTATTTTTTTTAAATAAATATTGAAAAGCGTTATTATGACGCAACACAATAACGTAGGTATACCTATACCATACCCGCCTGCACGAATATCACCGTTTTATTACACATTATCGAAACACTGCTGCGCGCGTAATAATAAGTAGCGTTGTTATTGTTGTTAATAATTTTTTTTTTTTTTTTTTTTAAATCTTTTCATCGTGCCATTATTATAGTATTACGAAGTTGGTTGCGAACGGCCACTAGCCGTGTAATTAAAACACACCGTTCGTGTCAATTATATTTTATCTATTATTATTGTCCGTACGATTCAATGTCTCTTCAACAAGGATAAAATCAATAACAATAATAATTAAATGTAATATCGCACGTTAACAATACTGTATATTGTAAATGGTTATCACAATCGCTGAAATAGGTAATTCCTAGTGTCAACTTTACGTATCAAAATTTTAAACACACACACACACACACATATATATATATATAAGTTAATGGTTATGTAAATGTAATAAATACAAATTTCGAATGTCGCCCGCAAGTTTAAAAATGTTAGGCACGCCTTTCGGTGTACGAACCTTGCTTACCGGTTAGTTGTTTTTCAATAACTTTCAGTAATGTACAGCGTATAAGCCACCAAAAAAGTTCCGTCTACTAATGAATAACAATTATATTATTAATAACATAGGAGGTTTTTAAATCGACTTGATATTGACATTTGTGTTTTTATTCCACACCCGAATTTCTTTCAACATTTTAATAATTCTAATAAATTGATGCTGTACAAACGGAATAAACTTTTTCGAAATATATATATATATATATATATTTATTCTTTGTAAATGGATTCAACAATGGTTTTATAAACATTAACTAAATCGTTATTATTTATAAATCATCTAGTCTGTGTGTAGAATAACTAATTGAAGTACATATTTTTGGAATCATTCGTTAACTGGAATTTCATACATTTAAAGGTATGTACGTACGTTCCTCTCAGATTATTATTAGCCCGTGATAAAAACTGTAAATACAACGTAGTTACGACTGCAACAGAAATAGAAAAAGACGATTTTTCAACCAAAATTAAGCAATGGAAACTTGCGAAACGGATTTGCACACGTATCATATTGCTCATCGACTGACACACATAAAACGAATACACTCTTTCGAATACTAACTATCATTTGTGATCCTCGCACGTTAAAATCATATTGTTTTTTTTTTTTTTTAATTGTGTTGAAAACCACTCTAATCAAACAACGGTAAACTATCGAATGCCGAGTAAAACGTAACACGTTGTTCTACGTTCGGGACGCGACGGAAAAAGAAACGAAAACAACTGTACGGATTTTTTTTCCCTTTTCCAAACCGGTACATCGGTTTTTGATAAACGTGCCAGGCGGAGTGGAACTACTGCGAGACATGGAATTTCGTTGTTGTCCGATCGCGAGGATTTCTGACGGGCGCGTCGCGTTTATCGTTTGTTATTCGCACGTTTTCCCGACGGGAAAACTCGCTGTAACGGCCGGTGAGAACCGACCGGGATGTGACACTTACCGAATATGTGTTGTTGCATTTCATTTGCGCGCGAACGTCCGACAGCGCCGAGACCGGGTTGGACGCGAACCGTCGCGGACCGTTACGGTGCACGGGTGGGCCGCGGGCGCATTCCACGCGCGCTTCAACCGGTTCGCGCGGTCCGTGAACGTGTGCTGGCTGCGGCGGCTGCGGGGCGACACGGACGGGACTGACGGAGGGATCTTTGGCCACCAGGGACTGTTGGTCGGACGAGAGAGATTTCGTCGACGGACGGACAACAACCCCGGGGGTCGGTAGAACGGTGTGCTTGTGCGAGTGGCAGACGTGTGCGTGTACGCGGAACGGACGCGGTCGGTGTCGAGTGCGATATCGAGTGCGTTGTGCGCGGAAACAGCGAAGCGCCGCACTATATAAACCGGAGCGGACGAGCTGGAGAAGTTTTCATTGAACCTTTAGCCGGCCGACTGAATCCGGTGCGCGTGTGCGTTGACAACGAAATTTCAGACCGCGGTCACACGTCGCGGTGGCAATGCATGCCAATGCATTTCGACCTTCGCGCGCGCGAAATGTCCGGGAGAGAGGGACCGCCGCGACCGTGCACCGCAACATTAAACACGACAATAATCGTACCGCGTATCGTTATCGCGTCGACGTCGCGTCGGTTCTTTCGATTTCGCGAGCGCTTTTTTTTTTTTTCCGATCAAATGCTTCTCCCGACGTCCGCGATCTTACCACCGGATTCGCGCGGCCACAGCCGACGGTTAGGCATGCCGGTTGTAGAAAACGGAACCGGTGTTCGTCACGTGCGTCCCCCGCGGGGTTGGTCCAAGGCACTTGGCTGTTCGATCGGTACGCCGCAACGTCGGCACTTGCTACCCGTCCGAGAGTTCCTGCGGCGACGTTCGGGGCCCGACGAAAAGCCAGTTTTACGCCGTACACGCTGGTGCGACGACGAGTACACCAATGGTTTTCCATCTGAGGGTCGTGAATCATAGGTTTGGGGTCGCCAAAAATAACGGATGAAATGATTTTTCCATATTGTTTAAAAATAAAGTTAATTATTAATTTCGTGCAATTTTCAAATCAATCGAAGTTGTTCATTATGTAAACGTTTTATCGGCAAACAAATAAAATTTTGACCGATGGAACAACATTTTTTTTTTTTTTAGGGATCGCGTTACAAAAATTAAAAAATAGGGGGTCGCGATCCGAAAAAGGTTGAATACCACTGGTGCAGACAATAACGTAAACGAACGCGCGGTCCGTTTGCTATTGCCTACACGTCATCGTGTAACCGCCGGAGATTTGCATTAAATATTTTATTATTTTATTATTGATTTTTTTTTTTTTTGTTTCTTTCCACATACGGCACGTCCGTACGTACGTGACGACTCGTTCCCTGCGTCGGGCCCGGTGCTCGTTGTACGTTACTATTATTATTATTGTTGCCGCTGTGCCGTGTGGGCGCCGTGACAAATATAACAATTACGTCGCAGCAAGTGTTGCGCTGCTTGGGATAACCTCACCGAAGATATATACCGGTCGCCGCGATTATTACATATCGTAAACGGACGTGACCGGACTGACCGACGGGTCCGGGGGCAGCGGCACCGCGGAACCGGTGTGTGATATAACGACGGTTGCGCGTGCGACACCACGCCCGTCCGGGTCACCGTGACCCCACGTTTTCCCGACGTTTTCTCCGAGGGATCGGAATTTTTCTTTCTCCACTATTTCCGAACCTCCGGGGACTCGCTTCCGACGGCCGGATCTCATTTGTAATGAACTCGGCGCGGCCGCGCAAACGGTTACGAGCTCGTCTGCAATCGTTCGATCTCGATCTCGGACCGTTTCACGACCGGCGACCACGACGATCCCTTGCACACATTGCCAGGTAACGTTTTCCGAGCCGCGACCGACGACCACGGCTTGTCGTCGCGACGCATTTTTTCTGACGAGCCCGTCGCGTCGTGCTAAACGGTCGATACCATTTTCGTACGTAAACAGATATTGACGTGTCGCGTATTGGAAAACGTACGCTACAAGTGCAACTCACCGGTCGCAGCGCGGAATCACCGGAATCACCCGTTTTCAGGGAGTAGTAAAAAAAAAATAACGATTCGCCGATTTTAATTCCTAAATTAACTATTTCGTCCGTCATGTTTCAGCGATATGCGTGCACGTGACGTGCGTACGATGTCAGCGTTGGGGCAGATGACTACGCCGACGAAAAAATACCTATTGCGGCGAACGACGCGTTAATACGGGCACGTAATAATGCACTGTAATATCGATACCTAAAAGCACACATGTTCCATTTTTCTCGTTTTTGGCAAATCACTAAAGAAGTTTTGTTGCTTGCATAGCTTTAAAACTAGAACAGATATTCTTTTCATTTATAATTACTATCCAAAATAAAAAATCGGACATAGAATGTATGTGCACTTGATTATATTGTGTACTACGATTTTAATGATGTTAATACATATCTCAATTATACCGAATTTGGACACAGCACATGTGTGCTCTTAGGTACATATTGTGTATATACACCGCGATACCAAAGTTAAATTATTTTTCATGGTCCATCAATTCAGTGTTACAGTAATCGTCAACCTATTTCTTTATTCAGACGATTTTCCTTACGCGTAAGAAAAAAAAAATAAGTTGTTCATAATAAAAGCAAGCTATTCGTCGGTAAGTGTAATTAATTTATTGAAATTTTTTATTCCTTTAAACCGTAATAGCACGTAATTTTTAAATAGTTATTAAAAAAAAAAAAAAAAAATTGTTTACGATCAAAACGATGAAGAATTTTGATTTTTTTTTCCGTCTCGTTTCGACTAGAAAAATACACGATCATCTTAAGTGTAATACGGATATGTCATCAAAATCGTCAACGGCACTGATTCCCGTTTAGCTGCAGTGACCCATTTACGGGTGAAGGATCGGAAAGGTGGACCATGGAAATCAATCCTTTCCCCCGAGTCCATATATCCACGAGAATCGTACGTGACACCCCTCCCCTCACCGCTAGTTTGAATATTCCACAAATGACGTATTTAAAATACGTTCTCTTATACTCTTATACGCATATCGTCCGATCGATTTAATCCTAAAGCTATGGATGATAAAAAAAAAAATAAAACATACCGTGACTTATGGTACAACCCGTTTTGATTTGTCATTTTGCGACTGTGTTATTCCAATAAAAAATGTTGCATAATCGTCGATATTTCCGTGCGACCAAGACCGGAAGAAAAAAAAAATCAAATAGTTTATTACGGAACATAAACGATGGATGATATCAGGAACTCCGCAATCTCCGGGGAGTCCGGACGGATGTTGTATTATGATGTGGTCCACGGGGATAACGAGAAGTTATTAACCGGTCGGTCGCGGTGACAAGCAATTCGGGTCGTCAATACGAAAAAATAGATAAATAATAAAACTTATAGTTTTTATATGTTAATTATGTCGGATCCGAAATCCGATGATAAATTGCGCAATGCAGACCATCGGTTCACCGTATTTACCGAGGGCAGCTGTTATTTAAACCACAAAAATAACCCGTCTCTCTCTAATGTCCCGGTTGAGTTCGATTGAATGATCCGAAAAGTGAAAATGTACTCATGGTCGTCAAACCATTCTCGACCACCAGACAAATGCACAATAAACGACATATTTGATAATGTATTCATAGGTAGCCAGTGTACATTATATTACGGTATAGCTGGATAATAGAAAATAAAATAAAACTGTTTATTACGGAATCGTTTTTCGTATAAAATTTCAACTTAATTGTGTGTATGTTTATTTTTTTTTTCGGTAAAATCGATTTTATAATAGAAAAATATATATTACGTTTTATCCACTGCGTAAACATATTGAATGCATTGAAAATGTGGTGGTAGGTACACAAGGAGTGTCTTGTATTTGTTATACGTGTTTTTCGTGCTCACGGGGAACTAAAATATCTATAAAATATACTACCTATTGAAAAATATGCCAATATAAAGAATGAACGAATAACGCGTGCAAACAGTAAAAACATGTACATATGATAATAACTTCAGTCTAATAATAAACTATTGATTGGAGTATATATTTATTTTTTAACCGGGCATACGTTTTCATATTTTATAATTTTTCGCTACACAAAACAAGATATTACTATATTACAATAAGTTATGATCTATCATCACAGTAAAGAATTTACGTCATAACAAGTGCTTCGTAAAAAAACGGATAACTGCACAACAGGTTCATTATCCTTGGTAGAATACATTTGTATGATGGCTTGAGTTAGACCGTAGTCTTATTATTTTATATTTTATCACAGATCACGAGTAGTAGGTACCACAATGTGTAGTACTATTAAGTGGTATCTACACAGCGTTACACTTGTACGTTTGTACATTTTATTAAAAAATAGATATATTATGAATTTGAACTATACATTTATAAATATATGAAGAAGATCAAAGAGAAACTTTTTACAACTCCAGTTGTAAAACGTACATTCATTGTATGCGAACAATGAATAACTATTTAAAATACGTTTGAATACAAAGAAATATGCTTATATAAATCTTCAGATTTTTAAAAAAAATTAAAATAATGATAATAATAATGATAAGAAAATATAATAATAGTAAAAAACAAAATATTTAAGTGCTGTGTAATCAATAAGACAATCTCCCATGAAATCGCAACACGGGTTCTCAACCTTTTGAAGACCTTTCATACTATTATATGAGGTCAAGCTCCCCTCATCAATGCAAGACTGAAGTATATTGATTTTACTAATCATTAAATAATCAACATCTCATTAAACTTTAATGAATTTGTTTGTAGAGGAAAAAATGAATATTAAAACTTAAAATTTTTAAAACAAAGTGCATTATAATATTTTAATAACTTTTTTAAATATTAATTTTTAAACTTGTTACATTAAAATATAAATTAATGAGAAATTTGGCACTGTTTAGCTTCAGTTAATATTTTTAATACTTGGCGACAACTGTGACAGTAAATTATGGCGTGCGTAAATAAAAGATAATGTAATTGCTTAACAATGGCCGATAAAATATAAATCATCGGAAACAGCGTTTGCAGGTCTAATGGGTTTAAACAGTTTCATATCTTCCTTGAAATTTCGTCACTCCCCCCCCTCTGAGAACCTTTGGTCTACAATGTCACTATACGAACCGGAACGTGTGCTATGGTTGTCGATTTGAGAAAAAAACTGTTTTTTTTTTATTTTTAATGTTTTCAAATTTAACACCTAAGTAGTACCATTTTGCTGCACCCGCGATCACACAGAGATAATGCGAAAACGTGCTTGGGAAGTGTGCGACGAGAGACGATCATGCGTGAACGAATGCATCTTAAAATGTACGCTGTTACACTCAAGTTGTATACGTACACGCGAACGGACGTATAGTTTTGGGGTCATGACAAAATATGAGCGGAC